CTCTCCCATTCTATGCCACTCTATAATGTCACTACCCCTCCCACCCCCTATTGTTTTTTAGCATGTTTCTTCCAATCGAGTATTTTCTAATCATGATATTTATTTGATTGCATTTATAATATTGTTTAATCAAACAATATGTTTATGCATGTGTTGTGCATCACATAAATTTGATTATTCTGTTATATATAGAATTTGTTTTTAATATTTGGTAATAGAAATACTTAATAATAAATACACGTGGTAAGAGTTATAGGTGCATGTTCAAATGAAGCAACAAATTTAAATTATTTGTCCTTTCAATTGTTTGACGAGTTACTGTATGTTGTGTTAATAATAAACAGTTTGCGATACACTTGTTTGCAATTATAGTTTATGATATTTGTGTCTTAATATTTGTACCTATTGAATTAGTTATATTTTGTACCTAGATTCTAACTAGAATATAAATTGTGGACTATTTCTACATGTATATGGTAAAGTAATTTTTGAGTTTTCAAAATTTCATATAATTGTTTTTATAAATAACATAATTAATTCATAATGTATTACAAAAACTATATAAACTTTAAATAATTTTTAAAGATTATATACAGTAGCTGTCTTAATATTTAGTTGTCTTAATTTAGTTATTATTGAAAAAATGTAATAAATAGTGCAATGTAAACTAAAGTATACAACTACTTATAAGGTATAGCATTTATAATATTATTTAACCGGAAATTGAAATTATAATTGAAATTTTACTCAACCATTAACTTGCAATTGAAATGCAACCGATTTTAGTGAATAACATTTCAGTTAACAATCAATAGTGAATTGAAAGCTATGGACATATTGTATGATATTATAGGGTTAGTTCAACTCCCTGTCCACTCTTATAATAACAAGATTGTAATAGAGTTGGGTCTTTCTTTGAGTTGTAATAACTTTATTTGTTTTAAATTCATTCAAATGGTATTCAATGTATTTAAGTTGTTTAATAATTTAATTTGTATTAAGTGGGAAATGTTGCCAATGGTCTCGTCTTGATATGGTGCGGGTTGGTATGTGTGTAACCTATGTAATTGACTAGAAATTTGATCAAAACTCGGATGTCTGTGGCCATTCGCACCATTTGATTGCGGATTATCCATCTTGGGCCGCACTCGACACACACATATCAAGCCGCACCCGATCGGGACGAGACCATTGGCAATATTTTCAATTAAGCTGTTAAACATAAAAATACAATTATTTTATTTGAGATTATATATTAGATTTTAAATGTATGTGAACTTATAAATAATAATAAAAATAAATAAAAACTAAGATTAACTTAAATAAATTCATATAACTTTATTAAAAATACAAATTTGTTGTTTTAAGAAAATATGGTTAAAGTTGAGTACATTTGCACCAAATTTTAAGCAAAATTGATGTCAATGTAAATATATTAATTATGTATGACTTGTTGTTAGTTTAATAATAGATTATATAATTTGTTACATATTTAGGATATAAATTAACAAGTTTAGGATAAAATATATGTTTAAATTGATTTAAATACATTCTTATAAATTTTATACTAATTTAATTGATATAATTAAATATTATATGTTACATTTTTAGCTTACAACAAATGTTTTCAAGAAACGTTGCAGTACTTTATTTTTCTTACGTACTTAAGGTATTAACAATAAAATTAAAAATTACTTTGTATTTGATATATATTTTACTACAATTATTGTTACAAGTAATATGAGTTATACTGTAGTAAAAAGCAGTAAAAAGTAAAAATACATTTTTATGTATTGAATAATCATTGATATATAAGATTGTAATAAATAAAATTTACATAGATTTTAATTTGAGTTAAATTCATAGATTAAATCAATTGGAGAGAACGTTGAATATTCTATTATAGCTATAATAAAAACATATATAAATTTATAATTACCATAATAAGTGATCTTTTCTGTAAATCAGTCATATTAATAATTTTATGAATTAATAGAAATAATTACCAAAACGTTGTCCAGAATTTGATAAAAATATTGTAGATTCTTATACCAAATATTGGATTTATTAAAACAAGTTTAAATATTTTTAGTGATAAAGTATTGCACTAATATTATGATTACATTTAATTATTATATTGACTGGAGTTATAAAAATGTATAATTTATGGATTAATACTATACATGTTTTCCCAAAGGATTCTCCTAAGGAATTATTATTTGAATTGTTATATGAGTTATGAATTGATATGGAGAATGACAAACAATAGTATTTATCTAGTTTTATATGTCATACAAACACATAAGAAAAGTGTCAAACAATGGACAATATATTTATGAAGTGATTTGTGTGAAGAATGTGTTCATATGAGTACAACTTTCTCTGTGAAATAGTTTAAGTGATAATTAACGTTAAGTCTAATTAAATACATACTATTTGGCATTTTTAGGTAAAGTGATGGTGAATTAGTTGAGTGCGAGTCTTAGTGTATGTATTTTAACGTTAATCTTAGCA